TTTAAATTAAAAGTTTTAAATACGGGAATATAAACATACACGTAAATAAATTTAAAACATAAAACTAGGAAACTTCTAGAACAAAAAAAATCTTTATGACCTTGAGTTAGGCAGAGTTCTTACACGACACCAAAAGCCCAATCCACAAAAAGCAACAAAGTACAAATTGGACTTCATCAAAATTAAAACTTCATTATTATTATTATTATTATTATTTTTTTTTTTTGAGACATAGTCCCCCTCTGTCTCCCAGGCTGGAGAGCAATGACCTTGGCTCACTGCAACCTCCACCTCCCGGGGTCAAGTGATTCTCATGCTCAGTCTCCTGAGTAGCTGGGACCACAGGTGCGCACCACCACACCCAGCTAATCTTTGAATTTTTAGTGGAGACCTGGATTCACCATGTTGGCCAGGCTGATCGTCAACTACTGCTTACCTCAAGTGATCTATCTCCTTCAGCCTCCCAAAGTGCTGGGACTACAGGCCTGAGCTACCGCACCGGTACTATTATTATTCTAATAGTTTTGCGGGGAACAGGTAGTGTTTAGTGACATGGGTAAGTTCTCCAGGTGTGATTTCTGGGATTTGGTGCATTCATCACTGGAGCAGTGTACGCTGCATCCAATGTGTAGTCTTCTATCCCTCACTCCCGCTCCCACTCTTCCGAAGTCCCCATAGTCCATTATAGCATTCTTACGACTTTGTGTCCTCATAGCTTAGCTCTCACTTAAAATTAAAGCTTTGTTGTTTTTTTGTTTTTGTTTTTGTTTTTTTTGAGACAGAGTCTTGCTCTGTCACCCAGGCTAGAGTGCAGTGGCTCGATCTCAGCTCACTGCAAGCTCCGCCTCCCGAGTTCACGCCATTCTCCTGCCTCAGCCTACTGGGTAGCTGAGACTACAGGTGCCCGCCACCATGCCCGGCTAATTTTTTTTTGTATTTTTAGTAGAGACAGGGTTTCACCCTGTTGGCCAGGATAAAATACTTATTGATCATATATCCAACAAAGGACTTACATTCAGAATAAATTAAGAACTATTAAAACTGAACAGTAAGAAAATAAACTACTTTCAAATGCCTGCCTTCTTCAACTAGGCTTTGTTAATGTGGTTATTGCAATCAGCATTATCTCTAAGAGTCTTTAACATAATAAATGAGGTCAGGTGGTAATCCCAGCACTTTGGGAGGCCGAGCTGCGCAGGTCATTTGAGGCCAGGGATTCCAGACCAGCCTAGCCAATATGGTGAAACCCTTCTCTACTAAAAATACAAAAATTAGCTGTGCGTGGTGGTGTGTGCCTGTAGTCCCAGCTGCTCAGGAGGCTGAGGCATGAGAATTGCTTGAACTAGGGAGGCAGAGGTTGCAGTGAGCTGAGATTGCGCCACACATTCCCGCCTGGGCGACAGAGCCAGACTCTGTCCAAAAACATAAAAATAAAAGTGCTGAAGGAAAAAAAAACCAGCCTGGGCAACAGAGTGAGACTCCATCTCTAAATAAATAAGTAAATAAGTAATACATGATTAGGTGTTACTCTTTTACCTATTACCTAATGTCTAGTTAATATATCTTTAGAAGTACTCAGAGTTGAAAAAATAAAATTTAGGTTGTACAGAAAGATCATTAAGAATATAATGGATGGGATGCTGTGGCTCACACGTGTAGTCCCCAAAGATCCAAACTTTGGAAGGCTGAGGCGGGAGGATTTTGAGCCCAGAGGGTGTAGGCTGCAGTGAGCTATGATCACACCATTGCACTCCAGCCTGGGCAAAAGAATGAGATCTCATATCAAAAAGACAAAAATGGCCCAGGCACGGTGGCTCACACCTGTAATCCCAGCACTTTGGGAGGCCGAGGCAGGTGGATTACCTGATGTCAGGAGTTCAAGACCAGCCTGGCCAACATGGTGAA